TTCAGCCTTTTCGGTCAGGAGGTGCCAGACATTCAGTCTTGAGAAGCAAACTTACAAGAGCACTTTTCGTTTCTCAAGGGGCATGTTGCAGCGTTTTCATTATGTACCATAATAAGCATTGAGCTGTTCCCTAATTGTGTCCCTTTGTGCCTTAGTCTTACATTATGGGTCTGTTTTCATCATATGCTACCCAAAGGAAAGGTCCTGATAGCTTACTCTTTTCCCATTATGCCATACCTTCCTAATTCTTCCAATGTTTGCTCTTGTATATGACAAAGGGGTGTCAGACAAGTGCGCACATGTAATCCCAGCACTCAGGGAGGCAGAACCAGGTGAACTGCTGTAAATTCAAGGCCAGCTTGGTCTACAGTGAGAGTCCAGGACATCCAAGGTGACACAGAGAAACCCTGTCTCCAAAAAACTAAAAAAGAAAAAAAAATAGCTTTAATGAAAGTTTTGGTTTCTTTAAAAACTCGGTTATGTTATATAAGTATGTCTTTGTTTTAATCCCAAGTGTGGGATTTTAGTTTGGGCTTCAGTTTGTTTATAACTGGTAACTGTTTCGTGCAGAGTGTGGCCTTTGGCAGCTGGCAATGGCCTGCCACGTGCATCCCAGAGAACGATGTGGTCTAGTGTTCCAAGGGTGCAAATCTGGGGGCCCAAAAAGAGGAAGTGTGGTACTTGAGATGTTGGTATGTAGTGAGTGGCAGTTTGAAGAGTCTGCACCCCCTTTCTCCACCAACTCTGTCTCCTACTTAAAGTTGGGGGGTTGGAAGGAAGAGGCTTTAAGGAACCCCAAATAAAATAGAGCTTAAAAATGAGCACGGCATCACCAATAGAACTGAGAACATTGTATTGCTTCGGGACTCAAAAAAAAAAAAAGTCTGTAAAAAAAAAAAAGAGCATTACAAATAGGTCTCTGTGTCATTATTCAGGAACTAGGGCAGGCATAGAAAGTCCTTAGTTTTACAGAGTTGCTTTAGTCTGAGCTCTTTTTCGTATGTCCTTATTCTTCCATTTTGGAAGAGTAATGTTTATTTTGTGAGACTGTATATTGGAAATCTATAGCTCAAAAATTTAAAAACATTTGATGTGTGCATGTGTTGTGCCCAGTTCACAAGACCCCAAAGACCAGGAATAGTCTCTGCTGTAAATATATGAGGGTTTTTTAATTGTATACGTGTTCAAACACGGGACAAAAACTTCCTGCGGAGACAGGAGAGGAATGCGGTCCCGTGGTCTAGGGGAATAAGGTTTTTAAAGGGCAAAACCGAAAGCAGGGACTTACATGCTTTGGCGTTACTTGACTGGGTAAGAGAAATTGACTTTTGAAATGATTGGTCCATTTTAGGCTCCAAGACCACAAACAGTTCTGGCCTGGCCATATGTGTGGGTTTCCTAGCAACTGTACCTCTAGTGGGCTGGGAAAGAATACAGTAGAATACAGTAGAGCTATTTTCTTTTCCCAGATGGCTGGACATATCTCCATTTGGCTGGCCTTTGTTCAGGCTTATGCTTTAAACTTTAAAACAATACCCACTGATTTTTAATTCTTTGGTCCCTCACATGCACATGTGCAAACATATGTACTGCAGGTTAGCTGTCTCTGCCTCCCATGGTGGTGTGGGAATGCTGGAATTACAGATGTGTTTAGCTTTATATGAGTTTTGGAAATCTGAACTCATGTCTTTCTGCTCCGACAATAAGAGTTTTATCATCCAGACATTACCCCAACCTCCGGCTTTATCTTAACAGTTCTATTTGTAACCATCCTATTTCCAAATAAGGCAATATTCATTATTTCAATGTATCTTTTGAAGGTCAGAAACACAAAGGATAACAAATAGAGGCAAGTCTGTATTACATAGCTAGATGCGTCTCAAAAAAAAAAAAAAAATCAGCCATAATGATCATGGATACTCATTGTAGTCCCTGAAAAGTTATTGAAATTGCTGGGTTGGTTTCTGGCAGGTGGAGCTGAGAGGAGGGTGGCCAGTCCAGCTGGATGCCCTCCGTGGCTGAGCAGGATGGTGAGTGTCGATGGCCCGAACCTCCCCGGATGCCCCAGGAATAAAACACCTGAGCCAGGAGATCTGTCGAAGCAGGAACTCAGTTTATTAAATTAAGCAGGCCCTTTTATAGGTTTGGGTCAAGGGGCAGGATTAAGGAAGTGAGGTAAGATTATGTAGAGGGTGAGGTTAAGTGGTGCAGGGAGAGGTGGGCCAGTGACGAAACTCCACCTAACCAGTTACCAGGCAGGGTTGATTTTAAGGCGGGTATGCTGAACCACTTTTGCCTGAAAGTGGTGCCTCTTAAATCAGAAGCTAAAGACAGGTCTCCAAACTCGAGCCAGACTCAAGTAGATGCAGCAGGCCTTATCAGGCCCAACAGAAATGGCCTGCCACTGCGGTGATCAAAGCCTTAAAGCCACCATCTTTGTAGCTGTGGTAATCAAAGGGGCCTACCTCACCCCCTCACCCAAGAGCTGTCAGAGCCTCTCCCCTCCCCAGGCTGCTGTTACAGGAACAGTCAAACTGATGGCTCCTATTAGAGCAATAATGCCTCCTCAGTGGGAGCTGTCCACTGTAGTGAAAATTTTGGTTTCTTTAAAAACTCAGTTATGTAAATATGTTTTTGTTATAATTCTAAGTTTAGGATGTGGAATGCTTTTAGTTTAGCCACAACTAATAGCCTTGTGAGAGGGCGAGTGATATTTGTCAGCTGGAAACTGCCTGGTGTAGCCCTGGTTTTTAAAACTCTATTTGGGGTATGTATGTCTCTACCTCTTTCCCCCCAAACCCTAGGTACAAGAGAGAAGGTTAGTGGGGAGAGGGGGCACAGACCTCTCTATTTCTCCCGGCTGTTTAGGGTCAAGGAGTCTTTCGGGGAATATACCAATCACTCTCAATAGCAAACACAGCCAGCAGTGTCCTCCAAGTCATTGTGCCCCTGTTGTAATCGGTGATTAATATTTACTAATAATTATCTTTTAGTAATGCTGCTGTTAGTCCTAAACAGCTGTATACCCAAATCACCACACAGAGACTGGTTTTATTTAGTTAACCTAGAACACAATGCTGGGCAACAGTTACTCCATCCTAAACCTCCAAGCCCTAATAGTTTTCTAACATTTAGATTTCCCACATCACACTTGCTTTTTGTGAAATCTTAGGTCTGGTTCATGCTCCACGTCCTCCAAGATCTCTACTCCAGCTCTGTCTCCAAGCTCTCCTCCTGCCCTTTCTCCTCCCACTCATTTCCTGCCCTCTAGCCCCTCCCCTCTTTCCTGTCCTTTGGCTCCTCCCAGATCAACATTGTGTTTAATTACTTTATTTGAAAGTTTACACCAAGTTGAGACAGAATGCTTAGGATGAGTATCACAATGCAATATCCGGATTGAAACCGAGAGTGTCACAAAGGTCTTCTCCAGTCCCTCAATAGAACCCATCCCAGATTATGTTAATTTGAGGTGAAAAGTCTGGACAAAACTCCACCAACTTGAGCAGGAAAACCCACCAATCGCTGAGTTTCCCACAAAATCCCACCAATCCAAGAGCAGGAGAAACCCACCAATCCCTGAACAGGGAAGCCCACCAATCCTTGAGCTTCCAAAGCTCAGGACTTGAAATCCCACCAATTCTCACTCTGGAAATAGCTGCCCTAGAAAGCTCTGGCTCCTAAGAAATTCCATGTAAAGGCTGTGTCTGCCCAGTTCCCTGATGCCTTCTCCTGGGAGCAGGGGAAGCCACTCCTGGATTGTCCCTCCTCTCTTGGATTTGTCCCTCCAATAAAGCTCTTTTAATAGATTTACTGCCTGATGTGACTCTATCATCAGAAGAAAAAAGCAATGAAGAGAAGAAGTGGAGTGAGGGCTGAGGCTTCTGAGCTCAGCTGGGGATACCCTCCTTTGGGAACTGCAGGGCTGAAGAAGGAGCAGGGCTGAGGCTCCTGAGTGCCACTGTGGAGGGAGCCTCTTCTCTGAGCTGTGTGCTTCCTCAGCTCCTATGCCTCAGCATACCCTTCCCTTGGGACACTGTTCCACTCTGAGCTGTTTTGTTCCTGGGTTCCTGTGCCTCTGCCTTTCCATTGGGACATTGTCCCACTTCCAAGCTCTTGAGTCCTAGGATACCTTTCCTCAGAGGTGTAACACTTTCATTGGAGATACTTTCTTTCCTCAGAACTGTGTGGTTCCTGGGGTCCTGTGGATACCCTTCCATCTGAGCAGGAAGCCCAACACTCATAAAATAGAATCCTAAACAGCAGTCAAAATTAAAACAAACAAACAAATAGCTTTACAAATCATGGATGTATCTCAAAAACAATATTGGATAAAAAGCCACAAATTTTAATCTTTCCAGACAAAAATTTATATCATAGTGGGGGTTCCATCACTATTAAGAGAAATGGTGCAGTAACTTTGATTAACCAATGCCCAAGAATTATATTCTCGTAAGCATCCACCTTTATAAGGAGATGATCATTGGAAAATAGAATAAGGCATTAATACGGTGCCATCTAACACTCTTGATCTCCTCTTTCCACTTTTTTCATAGCTCAATCTCCGCCTCTTTAAGGAGTCAGCCATAACTGAAATGAGAATGCTGGGATGCCCAGGTCTAAAGCATGATGGGAAAAGAGGGCGGGACTCTGGGCTAGGAACGTCCAATCACCTCCGGTCTAGGGTATAAGCAGGAGTGCGCACGCGCAGCCGATAAGGTCCGTTGCAATAGCTCAGGCGATTCCAGAAGAGGAACTTGTAGTCGTCCCGACGGGGGACCTTGAATGCTGTTGTGCATTCTCCGTCTCGAGCCCTTTCGTGGACTATAGGAAGCCACTCCGACCTGTGGCACCAGATGGGGGGGGGGCGTGGCCCTCCACGTGACCAGACGCCGCAGGAGCCGCTGGGTAGCGTCACGTGACGGGGCGGGGCAGCCCCGGGCGCGGGCCGAGGGGCGGCTCCTCACGTGACCTGCGGCGGGCTCCCCGGCAGTGGTGCCAGGGCACGCCGGGGCTGACGAGCTGGCGGCTCTCGCGGGCGCGCGGCTGGAGCCCGAGCCCCCCCAGCTGGCCCTCGGGGACCGGCTGAGGAATTCCGCTCGCGAACGGGAACGTCGGAGGGCTGGCGGCGTTCAGATGAGGGACAGACGCCCGTAGATCGATACCTCGGTGGCGAGGGGCGGGAAGTCCTCGACCCCGCTGCTCAGCAGGCCTCCGAGGAAATCGGTTTTATCGGTGGCCGGCTTGCATCGACGGAAGGCCTTTAGCGAGGGTTTTCCTCTTTCTGCGCCAGCTTTCATTTATACAGTTAGGGAGTCCAGCAGAGGTTCTCAGCCCCTGGGTCCCCACCCCCGTTGGGTTGCATGGCGGATGTTTACGATTCATCACAGTAGCAGCATTACAGTTATGAAGTAGCAACAAAATAGCTCCTGGTTGGGCGGGTGGTCACCACAACACAGAGAACCTCTGGTTTATAGGAAGACCTTAGGGAAGTCGGCTCTCTCCGACTCCATGGAGGCTCCAGAATGTCCAGTAGGTCCACCTGAAACCGTGAACCTCGTCTTCCACATACTGATGACATACTGAGGTTCCTAATTGCAGCTCAAGCCTGGTGAGAGGCGAAGTTGAGGCAGTTGCCTCATTTGGAGGAAAGCTGATGTGGGTCTTAGTCAGTGACCACGCAGTCAGAAATCGTACTGAGTCCAGCACTCCAAAAACTTTAGTAGCTTCCTTCTGTGGCTCGTTCAGCCAGTCTACACCTCACCAACCTTTAACAGTATAAAGATCACAGTGCCTGTCTAAGACTCTAGGGGAAGTGAGAACCGTTGGAAAGACCTTTCTCACTGGAAGGGAGCTGATCCAGGAGCAGAAAGAATAGTCATAGCCCCAGAAGGGTGGTGCTCAAATGCTCCACCCCAAAGCTATCAGCACGCTAGTCTGAAGGAAAACAAAGCCCTTTATGTTTTAGGAGCCCAGTTATACATTGTTAAGAAGAAATCTTAGTTTTAAGCGGTAGAAAAACTCTGCATAAACAATTAGAATGGAAGACCCTTTGGATGGTGGCTGTGACAAAGCAGCGGTGCAACAAGGGCTTCTGGATAGAATTAAAGAAGAACCTGATGATGTTCAAGTAAGCATTTATTTTGACTTTCAAAATGCTGAAGTTTTTTTTTTTTGGTCTGGGGAACTGAAAATGGCAATCGACAGTTTCTGGTTTATAAGTTGGTACAATCCAACTGATTTTTTTTTTTTTTAAGTCCGTTAAATGAGCGCTACGAAGGCTGGGGTATACACAGTTAAGTAGTAGAGTGCATTCCTAACACCATGAGGTACTGTGTTCAAAAATGAATGTACCTTCCAAAATTCAATGGAAACTCAATACCTGGTGCAGTGCTCCTGGGGATGACCCTGAAAGGTAGTGATCCTAAGTGCAGATTCTGTCATTACCACCAGTGGGTGTGTTGTCAAAGCCAGTTGAGCTCTTTGCTTCCTGTCATTTTTCTTTTTGGGCACTCTCCTACCCTTTGCTACTTTGAAGTGTGGCTAGAAGACTTGGCTAAATGCAGCCCCTGTCTCTTGGAATTCACAGCCTCCAGAACTGTGAGAAAATTCTTTTCCTTATAAATGGATGACCTGTTGCATGGTTTTCTCTTGAAGCAATATGAAAAGGTCTAAGACAAGGGGTTAATCAGGTTTTTTCTTGACAGCTGAGATTATGGTCATATCTACATTATGTGATGACAGGAACTCAAGGTACTCTTACCAATTGAGCTACCTTCCAAGTCTGACCCCCCCCCCCAAAAAAAAACCCCTTTCTGTTTTGAGGTATATCAGGTCATTTAGCCAAAAAAAGTAAAAACAAGGTAATTTACTTCAGCATAAAGGTAGCTTTATATTAACAACTTTTCCTTGTTTTTTAAGGCTTACATTTTCTAACTTCCTTTTTTTGAGACAGAACCTCACCTTGTACAACATACCGTAGCTTGTACCTCACGGTATACCCCAGGCTGGCTAACGACTTGTGCTACCTTTCTTCTTAGTCTCCCCGAGCATTAGGTCTAATAGGCTAAACCACTCCAGGCAACTTTTTTGTGTGGGGATTTGCCCTAGAGCTGTGGTTACAGGCAGTTGTAAGCTGCCCAGTGCTGATGCTGGAACCCAGTTCTGGCCCTCTGCAAGAGAAGAAAATACTCTAAACCGATGAGCCATTTCTCCAGTTTCTGTTGTGATGTTATATACAATAAGCAGATTGTATTGAAATTTTTCTATCTGTTGATCATTGATAAATATGAACCAGGTTTATAGCTTATAAACCTGTTGGCTAAAATGACTAATTTAGGACCTAAGGCCTTAGCTCAGTTGGTGAATGTTTGTCTAAAAGGAACACAAATCTTTAGTTAAGTCCAGCAATGTGTAAGTGTGGTGACTCATGCCTGTAATCCTAGGTAGAGCCCAAAGAATCAGAAGTTCAAGTTCAGTTTAGGCACATGAGACTGTCACAAAGGGAAAAACAAATCACTAATTGTTATCTAAACTGTATGTTACTCCTATTTAATCTCATTTCTCATTCTTTTGTGACTATATCATAAGAAATAAGTAGTAGGCAAGTATATTGGTCTGAGATCAGATTACCAGTATCCACCCAAAGTGCTGAAATACACCCAAAGACCACACCGAGTATGAAACGCCCCTTTGCTAGATGTCAACTAGAAGGCAGCTCAGGTCAGGCAGACTTCCTACAGGCGTCGTAACTCAGACTCCCTTGGAGAGCCACAGTGGTTATTCTCTTGCAACCACAGAGGGAGCTGGTCAGGAAATTTGGAGGGTTACAGAGCAACACTTCTTTGGAAGCTGGATGTCTTTCTGGGTGCTAGAATGCAAATTTAGGTTTTGTTGGGTACTTGAATTCATTGGATATTTTCAAAATCAGTGTTCGAATGTCACTTTTCACCAGGTTCACTTGTTTTCCAATTAAATTGGTTGAAGCAAAATGGTTTTTACATTTCTAATACCTTTTGTATTTTTTACAATAAAAATTTGGTGACAAATTTTAAAAAATTGAGCATAAGGTATAAACAAGGTGTAGAGCGATTGAGGAAAAAACCTGCATTGAGTTCTGGTATCCACATGCACATGTTTACCCGCACACATGCACATACACAAACACATGCATGCACAAGTAAGTAGTGGTCAAGATTGGAGTGGCTACATTCTCATCTTTCAAGATTACTTTTGAAAAGTAGGTATAACTGCAAATTTTTTTTTAATTTTGAAAGATGCTCTTTGTAAAGATTGTATCTGGTCTAATAATTCTGATGTTTGAAATATTTGTGAAAGGACTATGATTAGGGTGTATAAAAGATGTATAATTCTACATGTGCCAAAATGTAGATTTTTAGTTGAATTTCTAGTTACTCATGCATATTTATTTTTCCCTCTTCTCTCTTGTTTTTAAGGAATATGGACCTCAAGAAAGTGAACTTAAAATTAGTGCTGTATTTTCAGCTACTGAAACTTCTCTTGGTAAGAATTAACAACTAAGCTTGTTACAGTTGCTATTGTTTAGTAGAACTGAGAGAAGCATCTCTTCCTGAAAGTTTTTCTCCTTCTTTAGAGTATATCTTTCAGTGTGGGAACTGATTATCATTGGCCTTTAAAAAAAAATGAAAGATGTAGCTGGGTGTGGTGGTGTACAGAGAGGCAGAGGCAGGTAGATCTCTGTGAATTCAAGGCCAGCTAGAGTCTACAAAGAGTCCAGGAGTCCAGGATAGCCAACAGTACACAGAGAAACCTGCCTCAAAAAACCAAAACAGAAAGAAAGAAAGAGAAGAAAAAGAGAAAGAAAGGCAGACATTAAGATTACATCAGAAAGCAATGCATGTATTAAGGAAATGTATATTTTGTAAAAGTTCTGGTTCTAGCTGGGTATGGTAGAACATGTCTTTAATTCCATCACTTGGGAGACAGAGGCAGGAAGATCTCTGAGTTCAAGGCCAGCCTGGTCTACTGAGTGAGTTCTAGGACAGCCAGGGCTACACAGAGAAACCTTGTCTTGAAATGAAAACAAACTCCAACCAAACGAAAACTGTAAAACTGTTCTGTTTTTGTTAAGTTATACATGTACAGATATATGCGTACAAGATTACAGGTTCATACCTGTAATCACAGTACTTGTGAGTCCAAGACAGGAGGATCATAAATTTGAGCCCATCTTGGGTTCAAATATATATATAGTGTGACTCTGTCTCAAGGGGAAAGAAAAGATCTTGTTTAGCATGTGTGTATATGAAAGCTGGTTTCTAATTAACATGATACTTACAAGAGTTTTCTTAGAAAAGAAAATATAAAGCTGAGCGCAGTGGTGCATATCTTTAAGCCCAGCACTCAGGGAGGCAGAGGCAGGCACATCTCTGTGAGTTCAAGGCCAGCTTGGTCTACAAAGTGAGTCCAGGACAGGCAGGGCTACACAGAGAAACCCTGTCTCAAACAAAACAAAACAAACAACAATGAAAAATATATGCATTAGTGGAACTAAAATTGCTTTCTTTTTTGTCTTTATTTTGTTTCTTGTCTTGCTAGGCCTTCAGCTTGGTCTACCATCATCCGACCCAAATACATCATTTCCTTCAGTTCCAGCTGCTCCTGTGTTTTGTTCTGGTTGTAAAACAGCACTTCCTAAGGGGCAAACTACATATCGTAAGGCAGGGTCTGCTCAGCTTTTCTGTTCCATGGGATGCATCAGCAGATACTCCTCAGCTGTCTACATTCCACCTCTTCCCAAGAGAACCTGCAAACACTGCTTCAAGTACAGTTCCTAAGTTCTCACTTCCCTTTTCTCTTGAATGTTGAGACAAGGTCTCTCTGTGTCATCCTGGCTGTCCTAGAACTCTCTATATAGACCAGGCTGACCACTTATCTTTGTCTCAAGTGTCAGGGTTAGAGGTGTGCACCGGCATGCCTGGCTTCCTTGCTTTACTTCGGAAATTGTATATTTTAGTTCAAACATGGTACTGCCACTTTTAATCTCTTTAGCATTTTTCTAAGGAAATCTCTTTTTAGTTTAGTGCAGGAATTTGGGAATTAAAGTTTTGTAGCATTGAGTGTTGCCTAAACCAGTCTTCTCTCACTTTTAGTTTAAAATTTACTGTGAAATGAAATAAACAGTTGGTGAGAATTGTAGAATTAGTTCTGTAACTGTGGATAGCCACTACTTAAATAGAGCAGTTCTCTAAATTAATTGAGGAGTAGAAAATAATACTGTCTGTCTCTCTCTCTCTTTTTTTTTTTTTTTTGGTGTTTTGATACAGGGTTTCTCTGTGTAGCGTTGACTGTCCTGGAACTCTGTAGACCAGGCTGGCCTCCAGCTCACAAAGATCTGCCCGAGTTTGCCAGCCAAGCGCTAGGATTAAAGGCGTGCGGCACTGCCACCTGAAATGATGTCTCTCAGTAGGGTATAAAAGTTATTTATCTGTTTAGAAAGTGACAGTTGAGACAGTGACAAAAATATCCTTTGTTTTTATAACTCTCACGGGCTTTTGTTGGGATCGTTGTTGTTTTACAGTGATGCTTTGGTACAGAGGTGAAGAAACAGCAGAGTCATGTAAACATCTTCAGTACATTTGGTGAATAGACATTTTTGCTTGTTTTTCTGGTTGTTTATTTTCATGAATATAGTGTGAAGCTTTTAGTTTTTACCCATGTTTCATTCTCTCAACTATTGAGACTCTACTCAGTGGCCATTACATGGCTCCAGACCTTGACATGTGTCCTCTTTTGAGGCAGCAGCTGCCTGGAGTAGAGGAAGAATGAGAAAACAAAAGTCTTAAAAGTTTGTGCAGCCTCTGGGCAAGCCGGCACACACCTTTGACCCTGATACTCAGGAGGTAGAGGCAGGCGGAGTCTGAGGCCAGTCTGATCTACAGAGTGAGTTCCAGGACAGCCAGGGCTATATAGAGAAACCCTGTATCGAAAAACAAAAAACAAAGTTTCTGCATCTACTAGTTAACAGCAGATAACACAAGAATTTAGGATCTTGAGTTTTTTTTTTTTTTTTTAAGACAAGGTTTAATCTTAGCACTGGAGAAGTAGAGGCAGGTGAATCTCTTTGAGTTCAAGACCAGTCTGGAATGAATTTCAGGATAGCCAGGGCTACACATAGAAACCCTATCTTGAAAACAAAAAACAAAAGGGCTGGAGCTCTGGTGGCTCAGCGGCTAAGAGCACTGTCTGTTCTTCCAGAGGTCCTGAGTTCAATTCCCAGCTACCGTGTGGTGGCTCACAACCATCTATAATGAGATCTGGTGCCCTCTTCTGGCCTGCAGGCCTACAGGCAGGCAGACATTGTATACATAAATACATCTTTACAAAAAAGGAAAAAAAGGCTTGGTTTTAAGGCTGTGTTCAGCTGTAGAGCACTTACTTGGCATGTTGGAGGTCCTGGTCCATTTCCAGTGCTGGAGGAGGAGGTTTAGATAAGGTTCTGTTACATTCAGACCTTGGCTAGATATTTGAAATATATATACTTTTTTTGAGGTAGAGTGTCCTGTTGATATTTTAACTTTCCTAAACATCAGGTTTTCATTAGGTAATATGTACTTCCTAGGATTTTAATGAGGCAGCATTAACACATAACTTAGCATATTATAAATGCTTAATAAATGGGAACTTACTAATAAAGATTTTAAGTAATTATGTATTTGTAATTATATTTGTAGTTTTGTAATAATATATGTGCATGGCGTTTTCTTAATTTGTATGTATATGCGTGTTTTCCTTGCTTGTCCTCCGCCTGTGCACCACATGTATGCCTGATGCCCGAGGAGGCCAAAGAAGGCTTCAGATCTGCTGGAACTGAAGTTACAGAGGGTTGTGAGTTGCCATGGGAGTACTAGGACTCAGATCTGGGCCCACTGAAAGAGCATCCAGTGCTTTTAACCCATAAGCCTTTTCTTCAGGCTCAGTTTTTTGTTTTATTTTGTTTTTTGGTATTTGTGTTTTTGAGGCAAGGTCTCCTGTAGCTCAGATTGGCCTTGAAACTGACTTGATCTTGAAATTGTATCCTCATTGGCCCTACCTCTCAAGTACTGGAATTATAGACAAGTGCCATTACTCCCATCTAAATATAATTTATTTCTGTTTTTAGTGAAAAAACATCTTAAGAATCACTATTTGATCTGTATGCAAGCTGAATTTGATCACTAGCACCCACATAAAATGTTGGGTATACTCCTGGGCACAGTTGCTCACACCTTTAATCCCAGAATTTGGGAGACAGCCTGAGGGGGATGAGTCTCTGACCTGAGGCTAGCCCAGGCCACATAGTGTATTCCAGGCCAGCCAGGACTACATAGTGAGATGCTTTTTAAAAAATTTTAAAACCCTCTGGGAGGCAGAGGCAAGTGGATCTCTATGAGTTTGAGGCCAGCCTGGTCTACAAAGTTAGTCCAGGATGGCCAAGGCTATACAGAGAAACCCTGTCTCTTGAAAAGAAAAAAAAAAAAAATTAAAATGCTGGGCCTAGTGGTGAATGTTTGTAATCCTAGCACTGGGGAGGTGGACACATGAGGATCCCTGGGGCTAGATGACCAGGCAGCATATGGTGATTGGAGAGCCGCAGGCCCCTGTGAAAAACAGGGTGGGCAGTGCTTAAGGAGGAAAGACTCCCCTCTGCACACACATGCACATACCCGAGCCACGTAAAAATAGAATGTGTGCAAAGTATCGGCTAGTAGAATGGTTAACCCTGGACTTTCTGGATTTCAGTTATGGTGGTGTTGTGACTGTGAGAAGCAATTTAACCTCTCATTTAGTCTCTTTGTCTGAAAGGGGAAAATCATCATTACTTATTTTGTGGCCTCCCTCCACTCATATTTCTACTTTGAATGTTTCCTTTAATTTTTATATGTTTGAGAAGAATAGCAGTATTTAGCCTCTATCTTACTGGGTGTTGCTTTCAGTGCTTTTGTTTTAGAGTAGTCTAGCCTTGAACTCACAGAGTTCCGCCTGCCTCTGCCTCCCACGCCACCATGCCTGGCTGCTTTTTAATACTTATTATAATAATTGGCTTTTATAAAATGGCTCTAGAACTCTCACAGAACTGCTAAGTTATTTGTGTTGCATTCTTTCTGACATAGCTAAGCTTTATATAGCATGCTAATGTTTATATTAATTTCTTCATAGTTCATTAAAATTGAGAATTATAATTAAAAATTATTTTATGATTTCAGGCAAGATTCCACTATTGATAGCTGTTTGGTAGAGGACACGTGTTCTGTGGTCTGAGCTGTGGGATGGGTACTGAATTTAGTCTCACTGACTCCAGCAGAGAGCTGGAAGTCTTCTTTTTGTTAAATATAATTCTTGAACAGATGCACTCATTAGATATCATAAACCCCACTTTACACATGAGGTAATAGAGACAATAATTGCTTTACTCATAATCATTTAACTGAGAAGTAACAGAGCTAATCATCAAAGCTGTGCTTCAGATGATTGATGCAGGTTTTTTCTACTGTGCAGGAGTCACTCCTAGCTAAAATACATTTGCCTCCCAGAGAGGAAGAAGGTAAAATCATTGCACATTTGTTTCTGTTATTTGTTTTTAGAGATATTTTAAATCCACTGGATGTGATCCCAACCCAGTTTGAAAATTCCTCTTTCTGCAAAGATTTCTGCAGCCAGGCATGCCTGTCTTCTTATGAGCTTAAGAGGCCTGTTGTTACCATATATACCAGCAGCATTTCAACTGAGTGCAGTATGTGTCAGAAGTGCACTGACGTAAGTCTAAGTTATACTTTACTTTCATTGGAATTTTATTCAGAGAGATGATATATTCTCTCTCTCTCTCTCTCTCTTCCTCTCTCTCCCCGTCTCTTTCAAGACAGTATTTTGCTGTGTAATTCAGGCTGGCCTCAACCTTGAGGCAGTCTTCCTGTTTCAGCCTCCCAAGTGCAGAGATTATAATGCCACTATGCCTGGCTGAAAATCAAAATATGTATCTGTATTATATCGTAGATTAGATTTGAAATTAAATTTCAAAGCCAGGTGCAGTGGGACACAACTTTAATTCCAGCACTTGGGAGGGAGAAATCACAGACTAAAGATCACAGAGTGGATCTCTGTGAGTTCAAGGCCAGCTGGTCTACTATATAGAGTTCAAGGACACCAGGGCTACAAAATAAGACCCGTCTTGAAAAAAATAAAGAGGAGGAGGAGGAAGAGGAAGAAGGAAAATAGGGAAAGATGAATGGATGGATGAAATTAAATTGTGGTACAAGGTCTTTATAGTGATGCTTGTTTTTTCAAAATTTCACACAACAAGCTCCTTGTGAACTGTTGTGAGAACTATGGGGAGTATTGTTTGAATAACTGTGACCTTCCTGTCCCTGAAGAGTTTAGTTCAACAGATGCCCTGGTGTACAAGCAGGTATGGATTTCTGCTGCGGAGCATGTAGGCTTTCTCCTGAGCTGGTTGTGCAAGAGTGAGCCGAAGTGAGCTGAAAGCAGAAGTTCCTCCCCATTCATCCTGATGTGATTTTCTCTCTAGGGAAATGGAGAGATTCCACTTACAGATGGTTGTATAGTGACATAATTAAGATGAAATAGGCCACTTTAAAAAATTTATTCATGGTTCAGAACTTAACAGTTATAACTTCATGATTTGTTATATGAAATATTGATACTGAAAACTCCTCATAGATAAACCATGAGCAAGAGTTAAAAGCCAAAAACTGATTGAAAAGCTAAAACATTTTTTCCCCACATAAGATTTTTATTGATCTTCTGTTTTTTTTAAAATCTATTAATTCATTATTGATATACAGCATTCTGCCTGCATGTGTGCCTACACACCAGAGGAGGGCAACAGATCTCACTATAGATGACTGTGAGCCACCATGTGGTTGCTGGGAATTGAACTCAGGACTTTTGGAAGAATAGCCAGTGCTCTTAACCTTTGAGCCATCTCTCCAGCCCAGTCCTCTGGGAGTTTTGCATCATGTACCCCAATCCCTTCCTAGTCCTTCCACGTCTGCCCCATTTTGTGGTTCCCCACAAAAGAAGTAAAAGATAAAAATAATTAAAAAAAAAAAAAAAAGGAAAAGAAAGGGTAAAAAGATTCACTTTATTTGAATATTCTCTGGAGCATGGTCAAATTCTTAGTGGCCTAAAATAAAACTGAGTCCTACCCCTCCCACACCTCTGCAGAAGCCATTGATTATGGAGAGCATCTCTGTACATTTTTAGGAGTTCTCTTGGGTGTCTTCCTGTCTAGGCTGTTAAATTTGGGAGAAGGGTGGCAGCTAGGGGTTGTCACAGCAGCTGTCCATGTTTCTCTTGAACTGTGCATCTGCAGTCATTGATATAACAGCAGAAGTAGACTTCTGGCTCTTCATAGTAGTGGGAGCGTGGGTGACAGGCCTCCACTTGGTTTCTGGCGACAGTAAAGACCACAAACATGGCCTCCTGCTGCAGCAGGACCACAGACCCAGACAAATCCCTCAGAGGCTACCTGAACCGTGGACATCAACATGGCCTCAGGTGGCAGTGCAGGGCACTCATTTCAATATGAACCCCAGGAGCAGCCCAGTCTACTAACACATGTGGTTTCAGGCTGCAGCACAGATCATGGACATCTAAACAACCATCATGCTAACACTGGCCACAGACATCAACACAGACCCCAGCTGCAGTAGGGCCTCAAACCTGGATGTGGCCTTTGGTGGCAGTGAGGACCCAGATAACACCATGGTCTCAGGTGGTAGCTTAGGCCACCCTTATCAATGTGGCCTGTGATGGGAGCCCAGCTCCCGGGCCTCTACGTGGCCCCAGGCTGCAGCATGGACCAGGGACCTCTGCATGCTCTTGGGTGGAAACTTGTGCCACAAACACCAATCTAGCCCTGCGGGGTTCAGCGTGGGGGGGGGTGCTCAGGTGGTCACATGCCTGGCTGGCTCTCACCTTTTTAAGTCTGGTTAAATATGATATCTGTTTTAGTTTTAATTACTACTGGTTGAGATTTCTTTTTCTTTTGTGTGTGTGTGTTTATATGTATTTGGGCATGTATATGTGGGTCTGAAATTGATAATAGGAGTCTTTATTAATTGCTTTGTACCTTATTCACTGAGGCAAAGTTTCTCAGTTCAACTCACAACTTACCAGCTCAAACAGTCTACTTAGCCATCTTGTCCTGGATATCCTGTTGCTACCTTCCAAATGCTGGAATTACAGGTAGGGACTACCAAACCTACTTGACATTTATGTGGGTACTAGGGATTTGAACTGTAGTCCTTTTGCCTGTGTGGCAATTGCTTTAACTATTGCATTATCATCCTAGCCTCTTTTCTTAAAGCTCTTATAAAGGATGTAAATGATAATGAATTTTTTAGGGACTAAGGGGATAGTTCAGTTGGTAGAGTCCTTGCAGACATGAGAACCTGAATTTCATCCCTATAAGCCACATAGCTGCTTGTATTTATGTATACATATAATCCTAGTGGAAAAGGTTTATTTCTGGGGCTTACTGGCTGGCTAGCATTGGTTCTTTTGCAAATTCCAGGCCATTGAAAGACTGTCTCAAAAAAAAAAAAAGTGATACCCAAGGTTAACCCCAACTCCCACATATATGTGCATACATGTTCATGACGACACACTCAATGAACCTGCACACATGAACATAGAATTCCTTTACTAGCAAATTTTTGATGTGTTATTCCTTTTCCTTTTATCATTAAAAAGTATTTTATTTTTCAGGAATTGCCGCTTTTGGCAGTCCAGTTACTACTATCACAGGAAAATAACCACTGCTTTTTATCTGTGACCTAAGTATCAGTTCCTTCTCTAATCTGAGACAGGCATTATATTCTTCCAGATTTGTGAGGCCCATTTTTACTACGCAGATTGTGTGAAACTTCATAATGTATATTTCTTTACCATCTGCCTCCTTACTAAAAGATTTGCCATTGTGTTAGTAACAGTTTTAGAGTTAAAAATTGCTTACCATGGAGTTTGGCTTATGATAAGCATTCAGAAATCAATACTGTCTAAATGGTGGTCATGATTATTTGTTAACATGGCTAGACTCAATAGTTCATTATGTAATTTATCCCTACTTATTGTGACACTCATCTTGTTTAGGAAATGGTTTTATAGGATCTCCTTATGAATTAAGCATCATTTCCATCTCTTGTTGAAGAATCACTCAATGTTGATAGCTTTAAAAGTTATGAACTTTTTTTTTTTTGTTTGTTTTTTGAGATAGGGTTTCTCCATGTAGGCTTGGCTGTTCTGGACTACTTTGTACACCAGGCTTTTCTAGAACTCACAGAGATCTGCCTGCCTCTGCCTCCCTGAGTGCTGGGATCACAGGCATGTGCCACCATGCCCGGCTGATAAATTTCCCTCTAGTGAGGTCCAGATCTGATCTGAGGATGGCTGTATGCTTCAGGGATTACTTAATATTCGTTTATGACTAGGAAAGTGTGTCATCAGTACATCATTCAGTACGTAGTGGGTGCTCTGTTGTTGAGTTTCTTTAGTTTTGTAGCTAAGGCTGGCCTTAGGCTCCTGAGCCTTCTGCCTCTATCTTCCAGTTATTGGGACATCGTAACTAGCTGGGCTCTTTTTTTTCATTGCTGGATTTAAAAAAATTTCATATGTATGATTTCGTGTGTGTGTCTGTGTGTATTAGTGAGTACGTGTGCATGCCGTGGCATATGTGTGATTGTCAGAGGACATCATTGTTGTCACGCTCTTTCTTCCCTGTTTGAGGCAGGGTCTAGAGCTGTGTATGTCAGGCAGGCTAGCTTGTGAAGTTCTGGTGGTTCTGTCTCTACACCCCATCTTACTGAAGGAGCACTGGGATTATACACATACACTTGTCTCTGGTATTATTTGGGATTTGGAAATCTGAACTGCAGTCCTCATGTTTTGCATAGTAAGCATTTTATCCACTGAGCCATCTCTCTGGCCCTTTCTTATCTGAAACAATAACTAATTATGTTTGAACTTATGCTTGTACACATCTTATGTTATTGCTGTCCTAATAGAATTTGACCAACAAGCCACTCTATGCCTTGGGGACTTCACCAATGCTGTCTGCTGAAATGATCAAGACTACAAATGACCCAGGAAGAACACAGCTTTTCTGCTCTATTAATTGCTTATCTGCGTACAGAATTAGGAGTGTTATTTCTTCAGGTAATGATTAAATTTGATAAATCTATAGATTTAGTAACATATCAAAGATGACCATAACTGCTGTTATTTAATTTTGTTATAGACTAATTTTATTTCGTATGGCTAAAAACCCAAGACTGATTTACTTTTGAAGAACTGATAATAAAGGAAAATAGATTTTCATTGATACTCTTTTTTTTTTTTGTAGAATACATTTTATGGTTTCATGTGTAAAAAAAAAAATATAAGTTTTAAGCTAATTTTTTTTCTAAGATTTATTTTATTATGTATGTAATGTCCTGTCTGCATGTACACCTGAACACCAGAAGAGGGCACCAGATCTCATTATAGATGGTCATTAGCCACCATGTGGTTGCTGGGAATTGAACTCAGTACCTCTGGAAGAGCAAGCAGTGCTCTTAACCTCTGAGCCATCTCTCCAGCCCTAGTTTTTCTCTTTTAAAAATATTTTATTAAAATTATTTAAAAATAAAAAAATATTAAAAAAAAAGAAAAAATATTTTATTACTGCATTTTGTGTGCCTGTTTTGTCTGCATGTATGTCTATCCATATGTCTATCCACCATGTGCATGCCTGTTGCCTGTGGAGGCCAGAAGAGGGTATTGGATCCTCTGAAATTGTAGTTACAGATGCTGTGAAACCACCATGTAGGAGCTAGAAATCTAATCCATGTCTTCTTGAAGAGCAGTCAGTGCTCTTAACCACTGAACCACTTCTCCAGTCCTTTAAGTTAGTTTTTGATGAGTAGGAGTTATGTGAAGATAGTTGTTGTAGTTAGATTTAGAGATCACTGTAAAGTTCTGTGTTATTTTTTATGTTATACTTCCATATTCATGGGTTTTATATTCAACCAACCACACCTCAAAAGCAAATGCTGGGCTGGTGATGCACACCTTAATCCCATCACTCAGGGGCCAGAGGCACTGGGATCTCGGGGAGTTTGAGGCCAGCCTGGTCTACATAGTGAAGTCCAGCACATGCAGGGCTGCTGCTGAGACCCCTGTCTTAAAATAACAACAATAACATTAAAAAACCCTCATCAAATATAACTGAACTTTACAGAGATTTTTAACAATTATGTTTCTGAAAGTTATATCAGCTATTTACATGATATTTGCATTTTGTTAGGTATTTTAAGTAATTAGGAATGATCTGTAAAATGCAGATACTGTGGTACCATTCTGTAAGATGGACATAAGCATCTGTCTGCAGATGTTGGACATCTGTGGGGAAAGTCTGGGAGCTAGTCTTCCGAGGACATAAGGAGAGGCTGTGCTTAGTATTTGATATTTTTTTTCTTTGCTACTAGACTTTTGGGTCATTTGTGCATGTGTGAAACATTGTGGTTTTTTTTGTCATTAAGGTCTCCAGGTTTTGTGTCATAGTTGTAAAACCGCAGCAGTTCCTCAATATCACCTAGCTATGTCAAATGGAACGATCTGCAGTTTCTGTAGCTCCAACTGTGTGTTGGCTTTCCAGGTATGATGGAAGGTGCTATTTCTTTCTAGTTCTCTCAGGCATTGATATATGGCAGAACATTGTAAAAGATCCTTCCTTCCTTCCTTCCTTCCTTCCTTCCTTCCTTCCTTCCTTCCTTCCTTCCTTCCTTCCTTCCTTCCTTCCTTCCT